GTGCTATACTGGCATTTTCAAGTTGTGACTTATCACTCCCATCTGCCAGGAGCCCTGTACTCTTACTTTGTAACATTTTCTGTATTTTGTTAAGTTACAAGAATGATTCTTAGGATTGACATACAGCCAAAAAAAAAAATTAATTATATATATATATAGATATAGATATAGATATATAGATAGATATAGATATTTTTTTTTAATGAGTTTAAGCATTTTTTTTTTGTGTGTAATTTTCACTGTACCTCATTCTGGCATTTCCAAAGTTTAACTCTTATCAGCCTGACACCTTAGGGACTATTTCCAGACCCTATCACGCTAACTGTGGATCGATCTATCTCCATGGGAATTTTCGCTAAATTGCAATCAATGTAAGTGGCTTAGTTGTCTGTCACGCCTACTGAAACTGGCATGCCAGAATCCTAAGACTCTCAAACTGAAAGCAATTTAGTGAGAAACCCCTTGGAGTTGCATTGATCCTGTTAGATTGATCTAGGTATGGGAACTTAGTCACATGATACACATTTTACTTTCATCCTAATCCAATGTTATGCAGAATAAGAATTTGATGTTGGCTATGCAGTTACAGTAAGCATAATACATTAGTTCATCAGAATTGACAGTATCCTATTTCCTGCGTTTTTATTTTCTGGTTTTTGTCTGTACATTTGACAGCTTTGCTGCCTTGTTTACTTTTTATTTTTATTTATTTGTTTATTTTGCTTTATGTTGAACAATCTATGACAGTTAAGAAATATTGGGATTAGAAGTCAGAGCAGAAGATATATCTTGTTGATGCCAACCCAAGTTGACGGAATTTCTTGTAAAAGGCAGTAAGAAAGGAATTTAAATTCACCTCACTAAGATTACAGGAAGAAATCAAAGGTAATTAGTAGGAAAACGCATATTGAATAAAATAGAGTATACATAACTTATATTGTTTTAATGTTGTGTATAATGGATAGATGTAATATATTTCATCCAGGAAAGAAGCAGGGGCCAGGAACGGACTGCCAGCCTGTGGTCTGAAGCTGGCCAGCTTGGTCCAGCGGCTGCAGACAGCATACCAGATGACCACCCAGGGCAAATTTGCCGAGGCTGTGGACAGATTTAGGTCCATACTGCTCAGTGTGCCTCTCCTGGTGGTGGATACGAAACAGGAAATCACAGAGGTTGGAACCACTGCACTCTCTCTCTTTCTCCTTTAGTCTCTCTCTCTCTTTCTCTCTCTCTCTCACACAGCTGTTGCTTTTAAATTTAAGTTCTGAATTTTAGAGAAAGTTATTTAAAACAGACTCTTCCAGTTCAGATGATTTAAAAGATAGCTGTTAATTTTGGAGAAGGTTGTTAAATAAATAGACTCTTACAGTTAAAATTATATTGTTTTTTTTGCTTAAAATCTCCAGTTAACTAAGATATGGTTTAATGATATTGCGCAAGTATGATAAATCATTTCTTGGATGAATGTTTTTATCTCATACAATTTTGAAAAGTGTCTGTTACATTCTAATCCACTTTAAATCCACTTTTTGATGGTGTACTTTAGTGATCTTTTTAAAAGATAATTTGTATTGAAATCTTCCATTCCAGGCCCAGCAATTGATAGAGATCTGTAGAGAATATATAGTAGGACTTAGTATGGAACTGAAGAGAAAAGAAATGCCAAAAGAAAATTTAGAACAACAAAAGAGACTTTGTGAGGTAAGAGAACCGGGGAATTGGTTTTATAAGTGACAGGTTTACAGTACAGTCACAACATACAGTTACTTTTCACTTTTCTCCCAAATTGTATGATTTTCAGGACTGCAATAATCTCAGCTTTCTTATCCACTGTGTAACACATTTTAAGGTCAGGATTTCTCATTTCTAACACATTTTTCTCAGAATAAAGTTAACATTTAAATTTTGAAAAATCATGTATTAAGTATTTTTTATTTTCAGATGGCTGCATATTTCACCCACTGTAACCTTCAACCAGTCCATCTCATCCTGACACTGAGGACAGCGCTCAATTTGTTCTTCAAGTTGAAAAATTATAAAACTGCCGCCAGTTTTGCCAGGAGACTGTTAGAGCTGGGCCCCAAGCCAGATGTGGCGCAGCAGGTAACATTTCCATTTTATTATAGTCAGAGAAATGATTTAGGGTATAATGATTTTAGGGAAATTAAAAAAAAATAAATAGATAGAAAGAAACAAAAGAAAAGCACACCCGTGTTGACAAGCCATATTAAAAATTCTGTACATGTAGAGATTTTTTAACCAGTGAATATTTCTTGGAGATTAGGACCAACTGTTGAAGTTCTGTTATTTGAAATGTGTCTATTAAGTACTTAACGCTGCCATTATGTTTATATTATTCCATTCCACATGCATCATGAACAGAGTTTAGCACTTTTATGACTATATATTTCTTTATTTATTTTCAGACAAGGAAAATTCTCCAGGCTTGTGAAAAGAATCCAACAGACACTCACGAACTTAAATACGATCAGCATAATCCCTTTGACATTTGTGCAGCAACATACACTGCTATTTACAGGTAGATTTATTTACTTCCTGATATGTAAATGTACTATGTGTGACACAGTTTTGAATAGAGAGCAAGTTCAGTTAGTGCCAGCATCCCCTTTTTACAGAGTATTTTAATGTGGAAGGTAAATAGCTGACAGAAACAATTTTTTTTGTTCTGTTTACAGCTCTTCAAAGCAAAATTTCTTAGTCTGTTTTCTATACTTAATAAGTCTGTCAAACTCATCCCAGATAAAGGTTCTGAAAAATGACAAAATGTTTGCTTGATTGTGTGCCAAATAATCTTCATGGGCTTGTTCATAAAAAAAAATGCAGTAAGTAAATAAAGAAATAATTTTCTATCTCCAGAGGTAAACCAGTGGCTAAGTGTCCTCTCAGTGGTGCCTGTTACCTGCCTGAGTACAAGGGACAGGTGTGCAGGGTAACACAGGTGAGTTGACGTGGAACAAGTATATATCTATCTGACACTTTTCTTATTTTTGACCCTTTACATGAGAATGCTAAGTATTTTAACTATCTCTTTTGTATAATTTGCCATGCTTTTATACTACTGTTGATTCTAAGTCTTTTGGCTCCCTTTTATTTATGATTCTATTCTACTCTTATTCTACTCTTAGTTAGTGTAAATTTTCAGTTATATATTTGTGTGTTATTTAATAATTCCCTCTCACTTCTCCAGTATCTGCCTTAATGATGTGTATTCATTGTCTCTTGATGATCTGTTCACATGCTTCACTTTCCTATTTTTCAGGTGACAGAGATTGGAAAAGACTGCATAGGGCTCAGAATAAGTCAACTTCAGTTTAGATAATGCTGATACAGTGATTGAAAAATAAATAAACAATAATGACACTGTGGTTAGGAGTTCAAAGCATTTGTTGAATCAATTATCACACTATGTACTCTGACCGATGCTGATCTGACTGGTGAAGAAAAATTGGATCATATTTAATTTTATGACATTATGTGTACCACACATAACAAAATGGAAGTGAAGACTTCAAAACAAACTATTTCACCTACCATTTCAAAAACCTGTGAGCTGCCAGGCTAAGTGTTCTCTGCTTACTTGTCTTAATGTGTACTACACCACCTGGACATGTATGAAAATGGACAACTGGATAGAAGTGAAAATTTATGGACATCGGCGCAGGACAAAAGGACAGTTGTGGAAGTGGATCACAGAAAAATATTTTATGAATCCTGGAAAAAAAATACGCTTTTTTGTTGGACCGATATAGACTTTGTTTAGATAAAACAAGCATGGTTAAACATGATGTATGAACTATCACAGCCATTAATGGATGTAAATTTAATTTATGGAAAGGTAACACTTTCTGTTGTTAAGAAAAGAGACATTACAGCTTAGATTAGAAGTGCAGATATTTTCTGCTGGGAGGTTTAAGAATTGATGGCTGATGATGTTAAGGGTGGGGAATGGACTTGGAGACTATTTAGTTAGCAAAGGCAAAATTTTATTGGAAACGACAAAAGAAAATAAAAAAAATATTTATTTAATCTTAAGAACTTTTTGCCAGTTTTTTTTCAGTGTTTTTATTAATGCCCAGCATTCGAAGAATGTTAACAGCAAAGGAGTCTCTGTCTTCTTTAGAAAAACTCTTAAGATTTACAATTCAAATAACTAGCACAAAGCCTTTTACTATGAAAATAGCACATCACTTCTAGCAATCATGCTTTCTCTATTCTTCTGAACTTGACATGATATATGCTATTTTGCCACGCTTTTGTTATCAAGTTACAAATCGTGACGGTAATGTTGAGGTGCTGCACATAATTTATAGTATCTTATTATACGACCTAACGGCTCAAGAACATGGATAAAATACATTTCTGTTTTAACTCCAAGTCCTCAATTTCTTCGTCCAGAATTTTATCAAAGGGACGGGAAAATATTTCTCTTTTCTGGGCTTGTCACATTTTAAAATGTTTGCAAACAAACCAAAAATGGGGGATGGGGGCAGTGCCTGGGGCTACCTACACCAACACCACCCCCCCCCACTCCCCCTGTCTATCTAGGAGCTCGACAGTTGATGATATGCGCATTTGTTACCCGTTTACGAGTCTGCAAATACCACCTCAACCTACACACGTTTCACCTTCATCTCATCCCATGTTAATTTTTGTCTTAATGGTTATAATTTAATCGCATTCACACGTACTCTGATGGTTTCTTAACCCCGAGGAGCAATACCTATTGGTTTAGGTTACCACATTGTGTTAACTACACCTTAATTAATAGACGTGCACATTTTGGGGCAGAGTGCGCTTCATCATCATGCACCTCGCCACACAAGATAAACCAAAATAATGCGTGACATGAACGATAAGCTGTATTTCCCGAGGAGATAGAGGCCAATTGTCTTGGCGTTGTAGTCGGACTTGAGATGAATACTAGATATATATAAACAGTGACACGTAGATAACGCGGGACCCTCGTGTGTTGATGCTGTACGTATGTTTAGGGATTTTTTCTATCTAAAGAGACCTGCAGATGTTTTGATATCTAAATAGAGGCACACAGAACTTACAACTGGTGTGGACCCTACATCGATCTAGGCTTCTTACAGAATACCCACAAACGACGACACCTGAGATGGCAGGATGATAGAAGACAGATAGTGTATCTTAAGAGGATTTTGCACTTTTTGAGTGTAAGTATGATAACATGGAATTTTGCAAAGTTGTGTGCCTGTGTGTGTGTGTGGGGGGGGGGGGGGGCACAAACAAGGATAAAGTTTTCTTGCCCTTTTCCGCTTGGAAAAAATGGATGGGGTGTACATCGGAGCCGGGGGAGGTATGTTCCCGCTTTAAACCCCCCCCCCCCCCCCCCAGATCCGCCACTAGGTAATTAACTAGTATAAAGGCCCCTATGTAAGTTACAGTCATAGAGTGCGTTATTCATTCTTATTTAATAACCTATGATTGAGCCCTGTATATACGTTGTTCATGTAGCATGTCATATCTAGGGCCCAACATCATCATTATATAGTTTATACGCTGCAATCCTTCCAGTACTCGTGCATCTTACGGTGGGGATTGGGATGATCACAGCATATGTTACGACTCACATGATATATATACCCTCTACCAGTGTCACAGATTGATTTTTCGTAAGATATTCACAGATAGGTTTCTGGTTAATTCATGACACGATTTTCTGCTGCAGTAATATGCACATAATGAATCTATGGCCCAGGTTAAAGGGTACATGATATATGTACATTACCTGGGAGCTACAACCTATTTTATTAATTACTACACGTTATTCTGTTAAAATGCTGTGCTTGTGAAGTGGAAAGCAGATAAAAACAAAAGACAGAGATAAAAAAAGAAAAGCAAAGGGGGAGAGGCAGAGGAAAGGAGGTGAAGGAAATATAAGGGGATAAAAGGCACCAAAACCATATCCCTGTAGTTTGTTTACTAGTTCTTTTATTATAAATATTTGTTAATTCATAGATCTACTTGCTTTTTCAATCTGACGCACTATGTAGGTCTATGCGCTTTCTACTAAAATGTTCTGTATGTCTAAAATGTTATGCCTGCCTTTCCCTTTTCAGTCATTTGCACAAACCATGAAGCTACTGTTCAAACTTTCTTTGGCAGCAATAGGTGTCGCTACCGTCTCTCTCATTTTCCTGTCCACCAGATATCAACTCGCGAGAAGGACAGACCTGAAAAATAACGAAAGCAGTTTTAATGAAGGAATAAACAGAAATTCTCAATATTATTCCACTACAGGCGTTCAAAAGGAGGATTTGGTTTTAAGTGAACGCGGGCTGTACGAATACAACAACAAACCTTTTATTTGGATATACTGGGAGGGACATCACCGCCCTGCCTATGTTGATCTCTGTCTGGAGACGCTTTCCTGTCACAATTTTAGAGATTTTAACGTGAAAGTCCTCAATGACACAGAGTTTATCAAAAGCGTAAAAACTGTGCACAAAGCTTACCAGTTTCTACGCATTCACCACCGCTCAGATTACTTCCGTGCTAAAATACTCCACACGTTTGGAGGCGTCTACCTTGATATTGACACCATAGGAATGAAAAGTTATAAAGAACTTGCGGCAAAACTCCCGGATGCTGACGTCGTTGGCGCGAGCTCTCGAGGGAATGTTGACAATCTTCACGTAGGAGACTTGGGCCCAATGAAAGCGGGGACAAAATTGACGACAGAATGGATGGCAAGGATAGATTTAATACTGGACTTACAGCTCAAGAACCTGCGACTTTATTCTGAGGGAAAATTAAAAGAATATCCCGTACAGTGGTCAGAGATCGTTAATGGAGCCAAGCCTATTTTAGAACGCTTGGTAACTCAGAAAAAGATCAAATATTCAATGGTTGACGGACCCTCGACTTGGACGCAGTACGACGCGAACCAAATGATGGGCTCCGACGAAAATATAACTTCTAAACTTAAAGACACCGAAATTCTTAGTTTAAACAATGCATTGTATCCGCAGAATTTCAAGGAAATGGGAAGAGACGAAATACTTAAATCCAACATAGGAATCTCTCAACTGATAAAATATTCTCTGGAGAAATGCAAGCGAGGATTTTCATGATATTTAAAGTAAAGAAAAAAGCTAAAGAAACTTCTAGCCGTTTCTCCAAACATGATGATTCCATTTTACATTTTTATATAATTTATACCCTTTGTCCCATTCTTCGTGTTGCGTTCTTGTCCCAATATTATGTTTTCATAACGAAAAATAAAAATTATTTTTAAAAACAAATCTGCTTGTTGTTGGACATAAATAAACTATTTTTCCGGGAGGTTATACATGTACAATAACCCTTTTCAGTGCTAACTAGCGACCTGTGGAAATGAAAAAAATGGCTCTGACTCTATAATACCAGCCTAGTAAGGATAACCTGTTCGCGGGCACTGGCAGGATTTTAATATTTCAGAATCACTCTCTCGGTTATTTTTCTTCGATGTCATCGGTTGTTTACGCAGGTGGTGTCTGTCGGGCCGCTTTGGAAAAAAATCATTCAAAAACGCAAACCATGTGGCTTTTAAAGTCTCAGAATCGTCCCTATTATTGAAATGATTGTGCAGTTAAATCATGTATAATGCCGCTATCTTCACTGTAGCTTTTTTTGGGGGGTTAGTTTCTTTACACTTTTCGAAAGTTCGTTTTTATTAGAAGCATCACGGACTCGCAACTTTTATGCAGAAAATACCCTAAATTGGTGTGATGGTGTCCCGACTTTCAGTGCATGCTACTCGAGTCTCTTTTATATACTGAGAATTTTTCGCTTTGTTTGGTAATTATTGCACTCTACTAATTTCCATTACTTGACAGACATCTGCATCTGCGAGCGCGATATAACGAAGGGAAATCAAAGTCTAGAGGAAACATTATTCAGACCTTTCTGTGATACTGTCTTTTTCTTGTTAAATGTTTTACTTCATCAAATTCTAATATCTATATCTCTTAACAATCAATCTTCGTGTATATATGTGTTTTCAGAGGTTTGCTCGAGGAGGTAAGAAGGGGTGGGAATGAAGGAGGCAGAGGGTGAAACGCTTTTTTTTTTTTGCCATTCAGAAAATGAAGACGTACACGATAACAATGTGATCAACGGCTAAAGCATGTAGTCGGCTATCTTTGTGTGCCAATGGGGTAAAATATGTAATGTTTCTTCTCGGTTTATCATTATGCCAAAGAGAATATATTTTGACAACATTTCTGTACTGAAAGAGAACTTTCACATCTTTGACGCCAGGCATGGTAAAATTATCGATTACAATTTTGTTTAGGGTCACAAACAATCCCAGAATTACACCGACCGTTGCGGAGCTTACGTGCATTGTTAGACAGGCTGCCAAAAGGACAGACATGTCAAATAAAAAAAAAGAACGAATAACTGTAGAAATGTATACGAAATAAATAGACCTGTGTTGGTTTGACTTGCCCTGTAGATAGCAAGCAGACTGACGACAGGCACTGACTACTGGCTCGTTATTATGGTGGCAATACGGTGTCAGTGATCATACGTATAAAATGTTGACAACGTGTGTATAACTTTCTATTCGTCTATATACACAGGACAGGAGAAAAAAGAAAGATAGTGATGCACAGATAATCAATTATGCAAGTATAGTTGTGGAAGAGTTTCGCAATAACAACAACAACAACAACAATAATAATAATAATAATAATATGATTCAAAGAAAGTGGAGCAGGGAAAAAAGGAACAGGAACAATTAAAAATATTCCACACGTTTGCTGATAAACATGTGTCAAATCCTTGCAATTAAAAAATATTTTGCAATCCAGGAAAGAAAAAAAAAGAAACCGAAGAAAAAAATAAGCAGAAAATAAACGCCACTGGGAAGCTGTTAGGCGAAGTGTTTCCACAGTGGCTGGTTTGTGTCAGGCATAAGATCTGAGACCACCCAGTGATTGTGGCGTTTCTCAGGTGAAGACACCTGGACCAGTGCTCGATAATCCACAAATGCTGCGACCTCTCGTGTCAGCCCGTCACTACGAAAACATCACATATCTCCACATTGTCTGTTCCTCCAACCTATTTGGATGAGCTGCGAATGCAATGGAGTAGGCCATTGAAAAGTGGTAGCTCTGATATAATTAACTCACACACACGTGCGTACTCGGGGCTGAGGTTCACTCACCAGTATTATATAGAGTTGTGTTTTCCCAGCGATAGCTGTAATGTTTTCCCAAATCGAATCAATGACGGACAACGAGTCCCGAGGAAAGTAGCTGTCAGGCGTTTTTGGGGGGTTTCTGCACGAAACGGGGTTTCTCAGTTTTGCCGTCTTAAACAAACTATTCCAGGAGGTCAAGCATATCTGGAGCTAGGGGTCATCGCCAAGAAGAAAGTATGCTGAAGCTGTCGTTCTTCCACTTCAGCCTCTGTGCAGCGTTAATAGGGCTGTCCGCGCGTGGCGGCGTAGCCCGCTCAGCTGTCAAAATTCGCCAAAAACTGCTCGTGTTTTTATTAGACGGTTTCCGCTGGGACTACGACGACCTCCCCGGACTGCGTGGGTTTCCTCGGATCAAGGAAAAGGGGGCATCGGCCACGTACTTGCGTCCTGTCTTCCCCTCCAGCTCCTACCCGAACTATCAGTCACTGGTAACAGGTAGGAGATAATTGTGGTGACAAATTCAGTGTCAGTGAATGGTGTTCACTTACTGCTACTAATTAATTCTCCCTCTCTTCTGGATGCTCTATGTGGTAATCAGCAGCCCTGTAAACCGTTGCTCCGATGTTGCTTGTTGTCATGCAGTTATGCGGAGCAAACTTTGACACTGATGCTACTAATTGTCGCTACAAACCATTATTCCTACTTCTAAAAACTTACTACTGCTGCCAACCTTATAATACCGCTATATGAATAACTTACTGTTACCAGTCCTATTGGTTTTACTCCAGTATTTATCAACACATGTCATCGCCGTTTCTTCCGCTCACATCAATTACAATAATTTGCTCTACAGTTCGCAAGCACTTCCTACCTCACTATACAGAAAAAAAAAAACGTTCCCATTCTTTCAGCGATTTCATGCCAAATTACTTGATATGACGTCTGCAATGAGTCGACCTATTTTAAAACGAAATCGGCAAAGATTGTAAGACGATTCAGTAGCAGATCCAAACGCGGGCCAGATTGTAAAGTCGTAACCTGCCAAGCACATTGGTATGTTCCTGTCATCGGAAGTGCGTGTCAGCCTCCGGTCACAGTAAATTAAACGAATTTGAAGAGAGTAAATGGACAGAAAAATCACTCACACGGAACTTTTTATTTCTTTTTCATTCCTCTTTCTTTAAATCTAAACCAGACTTCGTTTTCTCACGTTTATCGTTAGCTGCAATTTCACGATTACAAATTTGATGGCATTTTTTCGATAATAATAATAATTATCATTTTACAACTCAATTAAATTTATAAAGACTTCTTGCATACATACATAAAATATTTATTTGTAAAAGTATGAAAACTTACAGTCAAATTCAAAATCTCAGAAAAGAGCAATTCAATCCTATCAAGCAGGGGCAATGGCACTTCTCTCAGCGCTATATTATAAGTTTATACAGCTCTACTAATACCAGTACATATACCAGTTGGGCAGTGAAAATTTCTTTCGTTCTATCAAAATGTAGTAACCGGAAACGCGACTACGTGCGCGTGTCAGAAAGTTTGGACTATTCGCAGGTCATTTCAAAGATCGTTAAATGTTATATTAAATTCGAAAGCTCTGCAGTTTGGACTTGGGTTACGATAACTCAATCCTCTTCTTAAATATATAGTTTTCAATTCCAGAAGGGTGGAGGAAGGGTAAACAATAATATCTTCCAGTATGAGATTAGAATCATAAAAAAAGATGAAGAAATGTTTGATGTCTTCGTTTTTCCCCATCTGCGTTTCCTTGTCTAAAAAGATATCAGCTTTTACGAAGTCGGCCACTTAAAACATCGAGATTATTTAGCCTTTCTTGCAAAATATGCGAAGAAATAATGTTAGCATGGTGGTGGGGGGGGGGGGTGCCGTGGTGCCACTTGTCTTTTTTTTATCTTGCAAACTTCACTGACCTGACTCTAGAGTTGAACTTATTGGCTAAAGTGAATCGACAGTAAATCTGACCCCGTGGAACATGTCAACTGTTTAAAAGGTAATTGCTTCACCCCTCAACTTTTACTTAAAAGAGAGAAAATTGAAATCGTGGAACCGTTCTCCCGTTCGCTGAATGCCCCGTTAATTAAATCATTGGTCCGTCTGCTGACCTCAAGCGTCCACTTTTAGTGCTGGTCGTTTAACCCAACACATTACAACAGAGGTTTATAACTCGTTCCTGATCTAAATCTTTTATTTTTTCTAGTGGAAACGCCAAGTCAGCGACACAGAAAGAGGTTGACTTTTAGCTGTTCAAATATGTTCATTTTCGGAAAGTTTTTACATAGAACAAAATCAGAATTATTAAAAAGGATTTTAAGTATTCTGATTTTATTAATCATAGTGTTTATTGGTTCTAGTAATTTTTACCAAAATGTGCATTTAACAAAAATTGGGGAGACGAAAATGAAAGAAAGTTGTACTGAGCAAAACCATGAGCAATTTTCATTATCAGTTTGAACAAGATCTCTGTAGTTTACAAATGATGTGACATGATTTTGAGATAAATACGGATTGTCTAGAAAAAATGAAGAAGTTTTGAAACCACAAATTTCCAAAGATGCACCCAATATCTTTTTAGGTGCGCACTGGCGTTTCATTTCCCCTCTTGGTGCAGGATACCACGTCGCCTTCCCGAGCCACTTTACTATTGGTGTTCACTGTTTTGTAAAATTACTCATCTTTTTGCCATAAGCATGCTGATCTGTAAGTTAGATTTCTCAACAGGTAGTTAAGAGGTGGAGCTTTCGTCTTTCATCTTTCCCCGGGAACAAAAGAGCATCGTTTTCCACTTGACAATCATCCCCATGTAGTATTACCCACGAACAAAACGGCCTGCAACTGCACTAAGAGTCTCATTACGCACATAGACAATTAGACCCGAGTTTGCTAGACCTTTAAAAATGAGATCCAATATAAGATGTTTTTCTTTCTTGATACCCCGATAAAGAAGTTGAAAAATCACCACCCTTTCTGAAAAACTCATTTAAGTTCTTGACGACCTTCGTCCAGATGCTGGTCGCGTATTTTGATATCATTTATGACTCATTTAAAGAGCATAACAGGAAAGGATTTAATTGACCAAGCTTTTCCGACTGACCGCATATGAAAATATAATTTCCGGTTCCAAATAGTTGAGTTTCATGCGCCCTGTTTTCACAACTGAAGAAATTCATGAATTTCTGCTTTCATATTAGACCTACAAAAACATGTTTTTGACCTAAAATTAATCTATTTGAAATTACGTTCATCCCATAAAACCTGAAGTCATCTCCCTTATCTGTCTCCCTCTCTCTCTCTCTCTCTCTCTCTCTCTCTCTCTCTCAACTGCTTTCTGATTATGTATCATAATTAGGACAATTGCATCTGATGAAATAAATAAATGAAAAAATTAATCAGGGAAAAGAACCCATAAAGAAGAGTAACAATTTTCTTTCCCTTGCCAGGTCTCTACGTTGAAAGTCACGGCCTGCTTGGAAACTACGTGTACGACCCGAAATATGCCGAGTATTTCCGGATGGGTCGCTACCCTGCTCAGTACGAGTCACTGTGGTGGGAGGGTGGGGAGCCAGTGTGGATAACAGCTGAAAAACAGGTATGAATACTACACGTGCTTGCACACACACTCACACACGCACACACACGCGTGCACTCTGTCAAACACGCACGCACACACACATTCTTACTGACTTTTCTTTCGGTCAACTTCGCTTCGTCCCTTCGGGAACGAATTTCAGTTTCTCCTGGAGACTCGCCTCTCTCTCTCTCTCTCTCTGTCTCCGCCTTTTTTAATAACGCAGTGGTTAAAAGAGCTGCGCCTACAGGGACCTCACACCGACCTCACGGTGCTCAGGGATCATTTGAAAAAAATTCTTACTAATTCTTACGAGAATTGTGCTGTTCTCTCTTATAGATTAGGTGTAGATCTATTCATCCTAAGCTTCAAAGAATACTGGAAACTAGCTTCTGTTGCCAACACGCCTGTGCAGTTCACAGTAACGCATAGCGATGGTGCTGAAAGGGGGAGAGGGGGGGGGCTGTCCAGTATTCTTTGAAACTCACGGTGGAAAAAGTTTATGTTCACATTAAATCAAGAACAATCATTGTTTCGTTTAAGCTTTTAAATTCAGCTTTTCCGCCTTTAATTTTACAACAGGGTCGTTCCAGCTACCTGTACTTCTGGCCCGGATGTGAGGTGAGCGTGGGGGGCCTCCGACCCACCTTCTGCCTCCCCTATACCACGATGCCCCACCTGGGGGACCTCGATGTCGCCATAGAGGAGAGCTTGAGGCTATTTCAGAACGAGTCGGCAGATTTCATTGGTCGGTTTAATGATAATTTGAATATTTTTGTGCCATAGTTTTTATCTAAATGTTTAAATTATACCACTGTTCAGTTTTTGTATGTTTGCCTTACCAGGGAATTATATCGCAGTATAGGATATAATTCCCTGGTCTTACCTATAAATACTGAGATGGTAACTTTGAAGAGTTACAACCCAGACATTGCATTTACTTGGCGCGACATGGACCTTTATAACAAATTTCGATCTCGTTTTCCATATCTGTATCCATATATGACCGAAATTCATTACCACCTCTCGCTTATACGAACCCTGGTGCGTACTCTCAGGTTTCGATGCTTTTTATGAAAGAACTTGTGCTATAAAATGCTTTGATGTCTGGCATATAATACCAATCAACTTCAAACACGCCTTCATTTTATTTTAAAAACACATAGGTTTATTTTTACTTTAATGAAAAACTCATTTTGATTGTCAAGTAAATGCCTCTCAATAGCCTGGGAATATGGGAATCAACCGAGATAGCCTAACGGGTTGTTGACACTACGTGACGTCATATGGCATTTAGACTAATTAGGAAAGGCACGAGAACACTCAGAATATGGGGTATAACTTTTTATATACATGTTTTTAGCGATAAGGGAAATTCAATGTGCCGCAGTGTCGGGAATGTCGACCAAGAAAGTACTACAAATGTAACACGGCAAGCAAAGTGAACTTGTACTGTGGAGAATTCTGTCAGGTTTTACTTGCAAGTCTTCCATTATGTTTTTATTCTTCTCTTTTCCAAAACTTGATTTTGAGGTAAGTCGTGAGATTTCGGGCTATCTCGGATTATCCCCATTTGTATTAATTATCTTTTCTAGTTAATAGATTTGTTTCAAAATAGTAATTTAAAAGAACAAGACCGCCAACAGGACAGTGTCTCTGTTATTCTACAGGTATCTACGTAGAGTTACCGGACAAATTCGGTCACAAGTTCGGTCCCGACACCCAGGAAGTTCAGGAACTCATATACCAGCTGGATGCCAGGTACCTTGAAAGGGGTGGGAGGGCGCGGGCTTATCAGTTTTTTTTTTTTCGATTTCATTATTCATTCACTTATCTACCTGTTTATATATTTATCTCTTTATTCATCCATACATTTTTGACAAAGGTTTTACCCTTATTATGATCTAGAACTCAATAGATGAATTTCTGTGACGCGCTCAGCGGCGGCATTAATTTTGATTAGAAATTAAATATTTGGTGATTTATATATCATTGGATTTCAAAACCTTCACATAAGATAAAGTCAGATTTATTAACATATGCGGTCTGTAAAATATATTTTAGGTTTGACTACCTGCATCAAGAGCTGGAAGACAGATTCATGTCTGATGACGTCAATATCATGCTGATGTCAGATCACGGTATGACATCAGTATCTGTGCCAGAGCACGTGTTAGATATACGTCACCACGTGTCGTACTTTGACCTGGAGAGGACAGTGGGGGCGGGGGCGGTGACGGGGGTGTGGCCAGCTCAGAATAAAACTCTGCAGGTAGGTATGGTTTTGCGCGGTATTATTTCAATAAGTCTTCTCATAATGAAAAAAATCTATATACTACTACTATCACTTATAATAATAATAATAATAATAATAATAATAATAATAATAATAATAATAATACACTGCATGTAAAAACGCACCTGAAAACTTTTTTTTTTTCGTTTTTTATTAAAAGGTACTGCACGCACTATCAATAGAGGAACATTGGTCAGCATACCTAAGAGAGGAAATCCCCGATAGATGGCACTACAAGCACCACTATCGTGCCCCACCCATTCTCCTTGTGGCGGATCCCGGATATTATATCTTAACGGCAAGTTCCCATTTTTTTTATTTGCGGGTCCATTAGACTGACATTGGCTTTTCCATTTTAATTTCAAATAACATCAACATTCTTGTAAATGATTTAATTATACCGCGTCTGATATTTAACAATGTGGCTGTCAAATTCTCCTAATTGAAGTTTTATACATAAGGCATTTTGTAAGAGAGAATCATACTGTAATTTTTTCTATCGCGCTCAATTACCAAAACCAAACACAGAAAATCCGCATAGTAAATCAAACACCGGCGGCCGTAAATCATGCCACATTTTTCCTGCAGTTTTCCAGCCGTAGCGTTGGAGTGTATTCTGACACCGGACTACCAGAACAGGGCTGGCATGGTTATGACAACTTTGACATAGACATGCAAGGAATTTTTGCAGCATATGGACCGGGTGAGAAAGGAATCTGCTCCAATATTGCGGTTTTCACGACTTATTCTAATAAAGCGTAGAGATGCGTTTGTTGTTCTGTTTACACTTACGTACTCACATTCAAGAAATTCAATATAATTGAAATAACCAACCAAATTTATCGACAATGAAACGCTGCTCTAGTCGCACGTGAAATAATAAACGTGGCTTCGTCATTTGAAAAAAACTTGTAAATGTTTCGTTTATATAAAGAAACAATAGCAAAATAACCTTGAACATTTCAACACAGACTTCACAAATATAAGCAAAAAATATGTCTTCTTTCCAGCCTTTCGCCCCGGTGCGCAGACGACCGTTGTTGAAGCGGTGGACATGTACCAACTGATGTGTAAAGTGCTAGACGTGACACCCTCACCACACCATAACGGCACGTGGGCTAACGTGGAGCCGTTTTTAAAAAATGAAGTCCCCTACTTCACCGCACAAGAAGAGGCTAATACAGCCAGCGTGAAATCCATTGCACCCAGTGTTGTGATCATAGTTATTGTGAATAATAACTATGAACCTTGATTAAAGTGAAAGATGTAGATTAATTAATTTTTCATAAGTCTATATGTTGCATAATGTGTTTTAACATTATGAAGAAAGAAAATGTTTCTACAGAACATCTATTTTGTAAAATAGTATTGATGTTAGGGCACACGATGTTGAATATTATCAGACATAAACAATGACGCTTGTTATTGTATAACATCTATATATTTCTACTGCTATTAGCACATTTCAAATAATCTATCAAGACTGATTTTTGTACGAAAATATAGTCAAATGGCAATAAATGAATTATCAATGACATATTATTGAATAATTGCATGTAAAATGGAATGTATTTTCACTTAAAAGAATGGGTTATATCAGTTATAAGAGAAACGAGTATTAGTACAGAACATTTTACTGCAAATTAAAATGCCTCAGACATTAAGGGACAGGAAAATTTGTTTGATTAATGCATTAATTCAAGTTAAAGTGATGCTCACATTAGATCTTAATATAATAATATTTTAAAAAATTGCTCCATAATGCTTGTTCCATATAAATCACATCTTGAGGTAACAGGTGATAATTTATATAGAGTCTATATTAATTTATAGCAGAAAACACTGCTTCTGGATTAACATAATCTACTGTTTTCCAATCTGGAAAAATCATCCCAATGTCAGAGACTATGCCTTCCAGTTGCTGCCATAACCGCTCTGCCAAAAACTTTGAGCCAGCCGCCGAGAAGTGCAAACCATCATTTAGAAATGACTTCCAACTCTGAAAAAAAAATCAATGAAAATTCAAATGAATAATGACTTTTTTAATTCTAATCTGTTCATTGATGATGAAATATTTCAGTAGGTGTAATAACATTGGTCATGACTATAAAAAACATCTGTCATGTGCCTCCATCCACTGTGCAATTGTGCTAGATGTGACAATTAAATATCCAAAAATACATTGTTGTGCCTTTGCCCAAGCTCTACTGCACATCATGTCACTGTGTTAGAGAAGTCCATTGAGTCTGTTAGGCTCTTTTGTTGTATTAGGTGCACTTTTAGTGCATGCAACATTGTGATACTCACGTCTCCTTCTGCGCCTGCCTTCAGCATATCAGTATATAGGTCCACAAATCCTGTACCATGAGATTTGTGAACTGACTCACAAGCTTTGGCATACAGGGCTGTCTGCTCTTGGGATTTAGACTGCGGTCGACCTAAAAGTGATTATCCAATATTTAATACACTTGTATTGGGGGTCTATGAAAGTAAATCAACTCTTATAAGTAACACTAAAATTACAACATTCAAGATCATATCACAGATACTTTGCAGTATCTGTCTAATAACATTAAAGGGGGCGGGAAGATCAACAACCCATAGGGTTTCAGTTAGTGGGTCCTCACTCACCCTCAGCATCCATTCTCTCTTTCCAGTGTTGTTCATCACAAGGGGGAGGTCCTATTAGGATAATTCTATTACTCCCCAAGCCACAGCTCTGAAATCATGTACCACAGAATCTGGGTTAAACTCATACTTCAACTTTTTTCTTATCTTTTTTTTTTCTTTTTTCTTTTATTTTTTGAAAGATTTTCCACCATCTGGTATCTTTAAAGTCTGACAAAAGCTTACTTTGACAACATATGCCAAATTTTCAATATTAACAATATATTTTCACACCAAGAGGTCAAATAAAAAAATTGACTTTCCATCAGAAGACCGATGGCTGTTGATGTGATCTCTTGATGTTCTCATCAGAGCAATAAGTACCCTGTTCCTCCCATTTACATGTACAAAATTTTAAAGGCCCTAAGGTCAATGATTTCCAGGGTGAAAATAATCTTCTGAAGCTATCTTTCCCTACCTTGAGATAAGTAATCATTGAAGACAAATTATCTTGGTACTCCTCCAGCGGGACATGTTGATGAGGATTCAAATCTTTCAGCACAGAGTCATTGGCGCCAAAGAATATCACCATGGCAGCGATGTCATTGGCTGTTTCCTTGGTAACCAGTTTTGGTAACATGAGGCGGGCCCATCTTGTGTTGTACCCTGAGTATCCCCTGTTGATGACATCACATTTCCTAAAATATAACAGATGCATGTTTATTACATTGAACTAAGTAAATCATTGGACCAAGGCTTGAAGTATGTTCATGATGATGTTCACCATTCGACTCCTTGGGTGCCACATAGTAGTTGCTGACCTAAACAAGATCTCATTAAAATGTTTTGACTTTTTATATTTCATAACTTTTGACTTCCAGTGGACTTAAAGGTTGCAAATTCTAAATTCAGACTATCTTTAATGCTTTAAGAAACAAGGCAACACAGTCTGCTTCTTATATATCTAATGGCAGATGTATGGAAGGTATGCTGTGTACCTTCCAGCCTAATTGCAATCACTTCAGTCGAGTCATATACTCAGTAAAACAAAGTAATAAACATCAAGCTGAAACAGACCTTGCAGATTGCCCTACCTTTGAAGCTTATCAGCTATTACAGACACCCAGCAGCCGTCCTCACTGTAGCCAAACTGTAAAGAAAACATACATAATAGTAACATCTTACAGTCTGCAACTCTCATTTCTGAAGATTTCTTACCTCCAAGTCTCATGTCTTCACTTTCCTTGCTGCCCATACTTCAAATTCATTTTCAAGATTGTTTTAACATGCCTATTACTAGGGTAACAGATGGGTTTTATTTGCAACCATCAGATCTAATAGTAGCCTTTTTTCATAATTTTGTTTAAAAACACTGAACTGATTTTGATAGTTTATTTAAATTATTGTTTTTTTAAGTATGGTAACTGTATTTTAAAGTTAGATGACAGAATGAACTGCAGCAGAATTAAAAGTATTTCATTACTGGTAGTTTCCCCGTAGTTCTGCACATGCAGATAAACTATACTCGACATACTATACCTGTGTTGAAGAACTGCCAAAAAGAAGCACTTTAGACACACTTACAGCCATAGTCAATGTAAAATATCTATTTGGATACTTTCTTTAAGAAATCTGCTTTCACCATGTGTATTTTGCCCTGCAAACTGTGCACTGATACTGCACAAAACCAGTAGTAGTGCAGCAAGACAAACCACCAAACACACTTTTCAACCAGCGTGAAACATTTATGCACAAATCAGAAGCAAATATAAATTGCTGCTACTAATTTTAGCGGATTTTATGTTGATTTTTATACCTTCTTTGAATGAAATAAAAATTCAATTTAGATTTAGAATTTGAATTTAAACCATGACGTAAGTTATTCCTTTCTACTGAAGTTTTGGAAACCTCCCCGCAATGAAGTGAAACTGATTGAAAAAGCGTCGATAGCTACTTACTGCAGTTAGCAATTGTGGATTTTGTCACAGTCTTCAGCCTCGATCCGACCTGCAACTTTCGAGGCCAGATGTGACGTGATATATACAAATGGCGTGTGTTTATAGGCTTGATTGCATTCTTAATTGTAACACAAGTTGGAAACAGGTGTGCCGAAACGTACGTCACTTCTGCTAGTTTCATTTTAACGCACTGGACAGATTAACGACTCGATACTATACCTGCGTTAAAGAATCTCCAAACAGAAGCACTCTCGGCACATTTATGGCCATATTTAACGTGAAATATCTAGTAGGCTATTTTCTTTTAACAAAACTACATGTATATCTTCTTCGCATGTGTCTTTCGCGCGGCACAACTATGCACCGATACCGCCCTGAACCAAGCGCAGCAAGACAGACCACCGAGCACTCTTTTCGTTGTATTGGTAGCGAACGTATATTTATTCTATCGAATGTTTCAACGGATTTTATATGTTGTTAACCTTGTACGAATGTTATCAAAATTTGATTTAGATTTACACTTTTACCGCCAATCAAACCTTAACCTAGCTATTGCTTTCTGCTGAAGCCAAAAGAAACCTTTCCACGCCTAAGTTAAAACTGATTAAAAAGTCAATGAGATTTTTTAATTCAAAAACATCCCAAATGCAAATGTGTGCATTGAAGTCCACTCTAAAACACTTTTCTTTTTCAATAAATCACTACTGCAACCAGGCGCATAAGCAGAGGGTCTGGGTCAAAAGAACTACCCTTTTTGTCAGACAAGATACACTTTTTCAGAAAGAGACCCCCTCCCCCCTTTGAAATCATTGGCTACAGGCCTGGTTGCTCATGTCCGTTAAATTAATTACAAACCAGAAATGCTGTGTTATTTTGGAGCAAGAGAGAGAAAGAGAGAGAGATTAAAGGAATGACATAAAATCAATAACCATAATATTTATTTCCTCCAACTATGTACAGCAGCATTATATATTATATGTATGTATATATACTATTTATCAGTTGGTTAAACAATAATAAACCAGCACCAGTGCCATAAAACTTGTCAACAAAACACACTTTACTGAAATAAACTAACAATGGACATGAGCACAATGAAATACATCAGAGCTGCAAATATAAATGAAACCTCATGGAAAACTTTAATAATCTTTCCATAAAGTAAGTTTTGGAAAAAAAATAAATAAAATCCAGGAATCCTGCCGGTCCATCCCCACCTCTGACAGGCTAACAAGTCATTTTATTTCAGTGAACATGTGTTTTCTACATCCATCAACAATAACTGCCTCTACATTTAACAGCTCATATTTCCAACTTGATAAAATACTGAGAAGGAGCCCAGAATCGGTCAAACAGGCAAGGGAGAGACAGTGGAGCTACCATTATTGCACACCTCTACATCATGTAACAATGAACAGCAAGTATTAACAGATTTAAACCAGTAACATAGCAGAACATGGCATAACTGAATATTATACTAAAATATTCTGAAACATGTTATAAAGAAAAAACATTTTTTTTTTACTAGGGAACTAGCTAGCAAGTAAATACTCATACAGTAAATAAATTTCTAACAATTATTAATATATTAAAGCTGACAATGGAAGAGGTACTGTGGTATGATAACAACAACATTTAATGTAAAATGATTAACTGAAGATAAGATAAAATAGTTCAATAGCCATTACAACTAGTCAAACAACCTCTTTACCCTCTACTTAAAATATCCAGAAAGTTAAATAACAACAACTAAGTATAAGACACAGGTTTATCTTTCTTTAAAAATTGACCTGATCTAAAATAAAAAAATACTTTTTCAACCCCCCAAGCTAGTTTTCATCAATTAAAACAAAATTATCAATATCAAGGCTACTTTTCTTTGGTAATTTGCCAAATGAGACAAAAATAATATCCCAAAACAGAATCTACCACATAAGTTTACAGAACTAATTTGTTGTTGTTTAAAATATGATGGGAAAAATAAAAAACAAGTAAATTCAAGCCCTCTACCACTACTGAAAATCCCGTCATCATCACCAGAACTTAGCTTAACCAATTACAGGTACATCAAAACCAAGGGCCAGATCTTACATTTGGCGATTCAGGGAATTTCATAATCAGGAATAAAACCCATGTGCAAGAGGGTACACACCAACTTCCTGCCCACAGGTCACTATGACAGCAAAAAAGCACATGTAAAATTACTATGAAATAACACAAGGAGGTGCTTGTTAACACAGAAATGGAATGGATCAGAAACAGCAATGTCACAGAACACATGAGAACCACTATAAGGGACCGTTCACATGAAAAATCTATTTTCTAAAAATCTATTTAGAAAATAGATTTTTCATGTGAACGCAGCCTAAATTGGAACAGTTAGTATAACGTCACAACAAACATGGACAGTAAGGAATGTTCAACATTAATTTACACCTTTATAATACAGGTAACAACAAAGAGCGTGGAAAGTCGGGCAGAAAAGGATGTTCTCTGTTCTAATGACTAATGAGAGGGCCGTCTAAATCACACTTTTGATTAACGATAATTACTCTTCAAATTAGAACAAAATGAATTAACGATAACCCCTTAATGGTATATTGTAAGCAATACTTAAAATGTTGATTTAATATGTCTGAAAAGTTAGCTGGCTGTATGTTTAGATAAATATATTAGTGCACAATGTCCAAAGCTTGTATAAACTTAAACTTTATAATATTGATAGCCACTGTCAGTATCTTGAATAATTACACATTAAAAAAAAGTTTTTAAAGCGTGTACGTATAGCAATCTTGAATGAGAAATAAAGCTATTAAGGTAAAGATTTTACCTGAATTTCAAAGGAGTTGTGCATCATTTACTGTACGCACATCAAAAAAGAATATGAGCAAAACATTCTTTATAATTGTAAGTTACATATATATATTTCCAGTTATTTCACTAACAACACTGGGGTAGTACTGCAGGCGGAATCAAGTCTGACTCAGTTTCACAAAAGAACATTTTAGGCCAAAAGACCAAAAACTTGGGTTCTCTTCACTACAAGATAAATTCAGTCCACTGAAGAAAGTATTGGTCTGTAATTCAAAATTTACATGTTGTAAAACAGGTGCAATGTTTTACATATTTGGACTACATTATTTATCTTGGGACAAAGTGATGAAATTTTTGGTCTTAGAGACTAGTCTAAGATCACATTTCAGGCCTAAATTTTTTTGTGAAACTGTACTTCTGGAGCAGGCAAATGTTGGCTAAAACGTGTACGTTGGAAATATCATGTTCACAAGCAACAGTCAAAGAACAGCTAACACATCAAGGGGCTGTTTCTCAAAAAGACTGCTGAAATTGGATAGCTGACTATAAAAAGATATTGGTCTAAGAGCTTAAAAGAATGTTTGGCCCACAAAAAATGTATCTGCCACACCACTTTGAGTAAAAATCTTAATTATGACAATCACAATTTTCTTAAAGAGCTTATTTTATTCATCTTAAAATGAGAAGATGCTTCGTGTGGCCTTTTAAATTATTCTGTTTAATTTTATTAGTGAGCTATGAACTTGTGGGCTAATTTTTTGGCACCAAAACTAAGCATAGTCTTTTTGAGAAACAGGCCCCAGGAAACAACTTAGCTCTGCAATGTAAAATAAAGATACCTCCAAAATGCAAACAATAACTACATCACATATCCCAAGTTACTTGCTATTTATTTAAAAATACAATAACCATAATAAACATCAACAACAACATGAAGTACATCAAATGCTTGAACGACTTCAAACACAATACCTATTTTCACAGTCTCCATAAATACTAGCTAGCTATATTGAAATACAAATGTCTTTCACTCCAGACACTGATGTGGGTATCCGTCAGAACCTTCTCTGCAAACCTCCTCTTACTCCAAGGGGCCATTCAGAACCAAAAAACTAAAGCTCCACAGATCCACGGATCATATATGGCAAACCCTACACTAAAGAAGAGCAGACCAATCCACTGATGGTCACCCTGCCTCCACACGGGCCATTGGATTTAATCACGTATCCAAGGTTTCTTTGCTAGACCCCTGCAAGAATGGCGTGTATGGAGGCAGGGAGACCATCAGCAGATTAGTCAGCTCTTCTTTCATGTAGGGTCCGCCATATTTGATCTGTGGATATGATGATCCTAAGAACTTCTGTTCTGAATGGCCTACATGTGTTTTCAACTGGCAAACTGAGTACGCTAATGTCCTATCATTCATTTACTGCTATAAAAAGGCATTGGGATTGGCTCTTGGGTCTTTCTGGTTCCTAAATCTGATGGCTAACCAAACTCCTACGATCTGAAAAGAAACAAAATTTGAACAGGAATGAAAAGCAATGACCCATAGATTATTAACTAGTACATAACATAACATCTCTTAAATCTTCGTATCTTCTCACCTTTTTTGTTAGTATTGATTCTGGTGTAAAAACTGAGGGATATTGTCATCTTTGTCACTTTACATATCATGCATAATAATAATAATAATAATAATAATAATAATAATAATAATAATGGTCAACAGCAAATAAAATATAATATGACCAAGTTAACATGAATTCAATACTAGAACACTACGCGTGTAAATTCCTGAAGCACTGCTATCAATTTCAACACCACCAGTTAGGGCAAAAGCTGTTCCTTTATGCGGGAAAACAAAACTATTTAAAATATCAAATTTGATTATCACTGGAAATATCTTGGGCCTTTTTATCTCAAATTCACATTTGATTTTTGTTGTTCAGTTTCTTTTTTGATTTATTATTTGGTAAACATATTGCAAGTTACAAAGTTTTTTTTTATTCTACGAAAGAAGTACATGCCCACCGTGATGAAGTTGAACTATTGGCCATGCAATTTAACTTTTTAAATGGTCAATAAGACATGCAGCATATAGTACAATATCAGGTGTGGACAATTTTGAAAGCTTGGATTCGCAAAAAACTTTAAATGGAAAAACGTACACTTTCAAAACAACATGGATACCTTTATAACATGCAAATTGACCAGTAAAATTTTTCAAAGCAATTTTCTAAACGAGACACATTTTCAAAAAATATGCACTGATGAAGCACTGCATGACATAAAAATATATACATATAAGGATCAATTAGCAACACAAAAATCATGTCATTTTTAACTAAATAGTACAAACCCCAAACCATCTCCACCATCTAAACAATCTAAAATAAAAATTGGACCCCACTACCAAAACAGCTGCAAGTCAGCATTTGTATCCCAAACCTGTAACCACTGTACAAACTACTAAATACCATGTAACTAATATGACAAAACAAAAGCCAAACACCACAAAAACTGACTACAAATTAAAATGTTAAGATCTTTCTCAACCAATGTATCCTTATGGGAATACAATGAGTGGTAGATCTTCATAAAAATAAATAAATAAATAAATAAATAAGTAATAAATCCTGGAAATTTCAGCACTTTCCCCTTTTCAACAACGTCTACTCTGTCCAAGACGGCTGAGAAAACTACATTCGATGAACTCCCTTTTTAGCACATCCCAAGATGACAGGGTAAAAAATTAGGGTTCATAGCCAAATATCCTTGATAAGTAAGACCAGTCAGCTTTACAATTTATGTCTGGTCTTTTTCGTGATCTCATCTCCCTGGTAAGAAAGATGCTTAAATCTACTGATACCATGTAACAAATTAAGCAAAAGTAGTGTTGTATGTTAATTTACTAGCCCCCCCTCCCCAATCATTATCAACGGGAAATCGAAACTAACATTTACTTGTGAAATGTTGTGCTGCATTGAACATGTGAAAAAGCTTTAGTCATCTGAAGGCACAGAATCATTATTGATTAATTGAAAGGAAGCTTCAAGTATCTGGTAGTTTCTATGAACAAGCAGATTTGAAATTTGTATACTTGTAGATCTTAGGAAAATCTGCCAGAGATGGCATCGTCTTAACTTTGAAAAATGAGACACCAGCTAGCTGAACAAATCATTGCAAAAATCTACTGACGATAACATAGAGTGGGTAGTGGCATGAACACCAAGTTGACCAATTTTTGAGGCTGTTGTCCTTTTTAAAAAAAGTTCCTACTGACGACAACTATTTGAAGTCCTTACAGACATTTAAACATACAGTGGGTTGTTGTCATCAATATGCTAAATATCTTGTTATGAAATTCATACTTTTTTAGGAATGAGTTTATCAGAGAGCTGGCTGATTTAGATATGTAAATTGAGAACATGAATAATACCCGACCATTCAAAGTCAGCTTTTTAGGGGAAATACAGAGGATGCCAAAAAGTTAAGCACATGGCCATATCACTAGTTTGCTTAGCAAGAAAACAACACGAGTTGGAGAAATAGCCATTATCTTCTATGCTTATGATGCACAGCAAAAAGCTTTCACATACCCTTTGGTTATTATGAAATAAAATAAAATAAAATATATCAATGCTGAGGTAACTGGTACACTGAAAGCTGCCTTTTTTTCTCGTGTCATCTTTCCACAGTTATTTATCAGCCTTGAAAGAAACTGAATGATTTTTTTTTCACAAAACAGTCATCATGATGTTTCTTCTTTCTTATTTTCAAATTCACAGTTCAATTAAGTTTTCGTTATGTATATTTTTAACAGATCTTTCTTTTTTTTAGGCAGTGTAGTTTTGAAAAAAACAAAAAGGGAAATAGGCATATTTCATGTCAGTAAATCATCCCCAGCATTTCTACTTCTTCCCTGTTATAAAATACCCGCCTTTCCCTAAGCTAGCATCCCACCGCCTCTAGCATCATGCAACACACAGAACATTAATACCTAGCTGGTGTGGGTTAGAAATCATCTAGAAACCTGCTATAATTACAAAAATGCACTAGCACTCGATTTTGGGTCTCGCTGGTTACGATACCGGACCGTTAGCCACACCCCCAAGATCTGAAACACACATGAACCATATATGGTTATGGCAAGCTGTCAATCATTAAGATGTACATGCCCATGATCTGAAACACCCAACTTGTCAGTTATTGATACAGACACATGAAAACAAACAAACAAATGAACAAACAAATAAACAAACAACCAAATCACAATCTAGTACGTAACATAAATATTCAATATTATCAGACACAATAATGTAATATAAAAAGATAAAGAACAAAATCTATATGACTATAAATTATCAAGAACAAAAAAAAACTGATCTTTAAATCTTAAATAAAGATTGTTGATAAGCCAGCAATGTGTCATCCACTGCACACTCCCCTTAATCAAAACATTAACAAAAACTTTGTCATTAGAAGATGAGCATTCAAATGCCTACTTGCTTAGTAAATATAAAAAAGGCCCCATCAACCAGGAGTGTTTTGATGAATTGGCCAAAAATTGTGGAGCTACTGTAACCTTTAATCATGTAAACATAATAAATTTTAATTTACTTTCATATTTCATATTGAAATTTGATTAAGAACAAAGATTTCAAAATGACCTATTTCAATTACAAAATAATTCACCAAATTTAACAACAACAAATAAATAATGACAGTGAAACATAATTGCAAGCACTATCACAGAATTGCATGAATATTTTAACTAACAACTTCATGTGAACATTTCCTAAAAAGGGACTTGGAATTTTAAATTTTAAACAATAGTTTTATCCATGCAATAAAAAACAAGACAATTCACAAACATGAACTTGATATTTTCATGAAGCAAACTGTAGACTTTATAATTCAATTTGCAGTTAACATCATAAACCCTGGGGTAGCGCTAACACTGGCCAATTTAGCCAAATGCTAAAACTTACGTAAATTGGCTAAAGAAAAAGGGCTTGATTTGACATGTTTTAGCCAAATTATAATCATTTTGATAACAAATTGACAAAAATGTGGCGATTTGGCTAAGTGAAAAAATTGCTAGCGCTACCCCAGAAACCCCCAACCCCAACAAATAAGTCACCTTAAACTTAATGTGTTTCACTGAAAATGGGTCCTGAGCATGCTTTTCTTGTAGTGTTAAGTAACTTCTCAAAAGTGAAAAAGTCATTTTTTTCCATAATAACCAAAGGAAAAATCTCCATCAATTTAGAAAGTGGGGAAACGTTTTTAAAAGAAATTCTTCAATTTTAAAAATATTTAAAATGTGTCAAGTTTTTAAGGTATCTCTCATCACAAAACAATTTCCTGCTGACATTGTTATTAATTATTGTTAAATCAGTGATATTCAGACCTTATCCAGCAGCAACAGTCTTTCTATAATCAGTTTGTGAACAACTCTACAGGATTATAATGCAAAGAAATGAATCAAAGCAGGTTCGTAAGTATTAAGCTATTTTCTTCAGTCCAAAACAAGTTTTCGATAAAACTACTTCACGCAACCCTGGGGACATCAAGAGACAAACACCATGCCGAACTCACAATCAAGTGTGCCCTCACCTCTGTAAAACTGAAGAACAGTCCGATGCCTCCTGATATTTTAAAGGCAGTCTGGATGTCATTGCGTAAGTTGTTGAAGCAGGGTTCTACTGGGCAGGAGTCCTTGGACCCATTCACCAGATTACAGCAGAACTCACTCGCACCTGAACTCACGCAACCTTTTATCTGGGGGAAGAAATGCAGCCAATTACATTACAATAAACACTGAAATGAACATGACTAAAATATTCATGGAGGTAAAATGCACCTCATGATAGACTAGTGTAATTACTGGGCAAACATTTCCATCACACAGTTTGTTTTAAAATTCATCAAGATCTCCAGTTTCTCACTGAGGACATGTAATAATAATAATAATAATAATAATAATAATAATAATAATAATAATAACAACGTTGTACCTTCAAACAGTCTGGATGAGACATGGAGTCATTAGCCGGCAGAGCCTGGGAGGATGTATCAAAGCCACAGCATTCAAATAATTCCTGGATTTTCATTTTCAGGTCATCCTCTGCTATCTGTAATTAGAAATTATATAGGAATCTTCAGCAATATAGCCAGTAAGTAATAGTAACTGTTGGCTCAACACGAAATACCAGTATTTTGTATTATTTGTTCAGTTACTGGTCACTGTTTCTGCTTATCAGTTCACTTATCAGTTCGAAAGTTTTTTTTGTTGCAGACTGAAAATTCACTGATACCTGAATTGCTGTAAGTCATATTATAATTTTTTTACCTCTCATACATTGTACTATATTAGTACTTATGTTCAGAGCCAATATTAACCTTGTAACCCTCTAGTCTGCATTTGGCAGACCAACAAAGCTTCTAAATTGAATAAATTCTGAAGTGGTTCAACAAAGTATTGATTCAGACAGCCAGTAAAAAGACAGAGCTTCAGAGAGGTGTGAGCCACCTCCTGAACATGTACCACCAGCCATGTATATGTTCAACATTACCTTCCACGCTGCCTGTGCAATCTGCTGCTGCTGTGACTCATTGACGGCCAAGCACGCGCATGAAATTGCAAACTGGACTAGGAACAACAGGAAAAGAATCAACATGTACTGTTGTAAGTTCAGGAAACTATGAAAACAAAAAAATATCTGCATCACACATAAATTTAAGCAAAACTTGTAAGTTTAACTTTTTGAAAAATTGTTGTAACAATAGTAAGAAATCTTGACCCCAACTGACTAAAGCTGACCACCGCCTTGATGCCATCATGAATCAGATAAAACCAAAACTCTCCCTTCAGTGTAAACGCTCCTTTTCTGTCAAGGTCATAGGTCAAGGATACAAAGAAAAGCAGCACCTGGTGGTGCTTGATAGCTCCAATGAGTCCTATGATGGCTATCAGTAGTAAGAACACTCCGCAGGCAATGATCCCCCCCACCAGGGCCAGGCTGGTGACCACCGCCATAGCCTTGGCGTAGGCTGCCACGCCTATGAGGATGAATGAGACTAACTGAAAATAAAAGAGAATCTTATCATCATCATCATCATTATAATCCTGTAAACTGGAACATAAAAAAGCAGTATGATTTGTGATAAAAAGAATTTTACTATGAGATAAGAAATTAATAACTTTTTATAGACTCTCTTTTTGGGATATTTGAATTGAGCAGGAAAAGGGAACAAGTTAAAAATGTTATCGATATATCAGTGAGCATCTCATTGTAGGATTTATTATCTTTATTTATTATTATCATTTGTAGTCCTGCAGTCTATGAAGTTCTTAAGATATGAACATATGCTACAATCATTTTGCTAAAAATTCCCCAAAATGTATGAAATTGCATAATTTTTCAAAAATTTTCCTGGATTGGCATTCTCCCAGACTCCCTGTGGTTATCACTTTGCTGAGATTACAAAAATATTGGTCTATGGCAAAAAAAAAAAAAAAAATTGTACGAATTTCCAGAATCCCACAGACCAATGCCTATGGAATCATAAATTTCTTAGTCTATGCCACTCACTGGAAAACACAGCTGGTCCTTTACAGCCAGGTAACTATCTCCTACATTACATAACACTGTGAAATGATATTTGACCAGGTAACACAGGTGTTATATAGACAGCTACTTAATCATTCTTTTGTTCCCTGTGAACCAAAGTGCTGAAACATAGGATTACTGACAACAAGCATGTCCTTAGCTGCTCTTTCTTCACAGTACTTGTAAGTCAAATACCATGATTATCTGTGACAAAGCACAGCCACCAAGTAACTGGTTTACCTTTATGCTTCTACAGTACGGTAATTCTCCAATCTATACGAACGCCGCAATAATTACGAACGAAACGTTTTTTCTCTGAATCTGAATTTTTTGTCTCCGTTCTGTACGAACGATCGCTAAACTCACCTTGGGCACAATTTAAATTTTCCGAACGCAAGAAAGTA